ATACTTGATATTCTAACGCTAAGTAAGGCTAGAGCAAAAGGAGGGAAGAAACAAGAATCAACATCATGAGATACTGGGAGGAGGAGAGGAGGACCTCAAGAGGATAGACCTCAAGACAGAAGGATGGAGAAGTGTCCCAATGTGATGGGAAAATAAGAAGGATTGGCTTGATCCCCTCCCGAGTAGAGGGGAGCAGGCCCAAAAAGTTGTGAGAAAAGTTGTGATGTTAAGGTCTTCCCAGATAGGAAATCAATTTCAATCACTAGAGGTGTAGCAGAGACAGTCAATGACTTGAATATTCCATACTTAGTTAACTTTTAATGTTGCATTTTCACACCAAGCCTCCTGATCATATACCCAAATGTTGGGTATTAGAATCAGGATGCTACAAGTACTCTACTATTATTTAATTACTTTTACAAATTAAAAAAAAAAAAAAATTTGTACTTTTATTCAGCTTCATCTTAGCCACATTTCTACAGTCTTTCTAACATGATTGGATCAACGGAAAGTGAGTTATGTTCTTTTGAAAAACACCTAAAATAGACACTTATCTGTTTCTGAATCCATATGTTCATCAATTTAACTGGCACCTAGGTCCCACTACGCGACCCTCAATTGCGACCTATTGATCGCTAGTTCCTTGTATCATATTGCCACCATTCAGTCTGGAGCATCGTCAGAAGTAATCCGGGTAAATCCTAAATTATAGAGTAAGGCTTCCACCTCCCATTGTTTTTCATTGACCCTCACCGAACCCTTTGTCGTCTGAAATTCTTCCTCTGTGAGTGAGCACCGATGAACAAACCCAACAAACAAAGTGATGACTAGCGCAATGCCGGTGGGTCATTTGGGCAGAAAGAATTAAAATAAAAAAATCTTGCGGCTCTTCATGAAGATCACACAATACTGGCCTCAACACCATTGGCAATTCGACCGCCGCCTCCACCACCAACAAACCAAAAGAACTATGCCTTCGAGCACAATTGCAGAGAAAAAAGAGCGACTGTGCGATCCTCCCCCCTTTCCCCTGAGAATAACCCAGCTAATCCACCCACAGACCGGTCCTGGTAGAAAAGCCCACCCCGCTGGAATTCGACATGGGAAATCTCTGCGCTTTCGATGCAAACCCACTCGACCCCACCACCTACTCCAATACACTCGAGGAGTGTCTCAACGGCGCCGCTAGAGACTGCGCTCAGGCTTTGATAAATCAAGTGCTCACTACGCTTCCTATGAAGAGTGTTTCAGACGGGGTTTATGCTGGGTTGCCGGACCCTTTGACCCCGCTGCCGAGGGAGAAGCCGTTGCCGAAGGCTAAGGAGCCTACAAAATGGTTTGTTCACTTTTCCCCCACCCCTATTTTCTTCCGTCCTGAGGCAGGCAGTCGTGGGAATCATGCTAACATGGGAATAGGGAACTGTTTGCAAAGAAGAAGGGCATCAAGGCGAAGACTAGAGATGGCAAGCTTGTATATGACGAGGAGAAGGGTGAGTGGGTTCCCAAGTGGGGTTATAAGGGAAAGAATAAGGATGGCGAGGGCGATTGGATTGTTGAGGTTGATGGGAAAAACGAGAGGGAGAAGGGCGAGGATAAGAATCCGCGGGCACTTAGCAGAGAGGAGAGAAAGGATCGGATTAAGAAGAATGAAAGGCAGATGAAGAAAAACGAAAAGAGGGTCGCGGCAGGAGGTAAAGCTCTGACTGTTCGAAGTGGGAGAGTCGGAAAGAGATAAAGTTGTTTGAGGGAGGGAATGAGGGTATATTTACAAAGTAACCTGGCGTTCAAAAATTCACTCTTATGCACAGTATCCGGCATCCAATTTGTATATAGCTACTATAGTTTTGCTATTGCATTCCGAATTTCTGGTGCTGGTATTTTATGTTTTTCCCCCTCGACTATTGCATGATAACAGAATACCCCTTGGTCTAGATAAACCCTAACCGCTAGCAGCGTTGACAGAGTTGTCACCACGCGCAAAGAGACCTGTGACCCAACGCGTTTTCCAGGATACAAGGCGAAATTCCAGAGACAACAACGATTCCCTACCTCCAACACCCCCATCGCACCTCCCACGACATCAAAAGGAAGAGCGCCAGAGTTCACAGCCTACAATAATGTCCGATAAATCACCCTGCTTCCTCTACAAGGAGACACGAGTGAATCTTGACTGGGACGACTCCTATGGAAATATCCTTAACATCTTCCTACCAATCCACCATTCCGGACCCACCAGACGAACGTCCTCTCACACAAACATCATCAAAAAGCCCGAACCCGACAAGCCAGATACCCTGTTCCAGTACAGACACCTTGCTACTGCGGCCTCGGTATACTACCGACCGATTGAGCGATATCCCCGATGTATCCTGTGGAGAGTCCTGGAGGAAGCGCAGGTGCTCTCACTAACATCGGTGGACTTTACCAAACCCCACGATACCCGGGGAGAGTTTTCCAGCACATTTAGATTCTACTTCCCGGATACAATCAGGCCGGGATGTGTTGGGTTTGCAGACGCTCCTGATAAGGATGAGTTGGTGGTTTATGTCATGACCGCCGGGAACATTATTTACACATTGAATCTGTCGGCGGATTTCTTCCTCCGGGGCGCGGTTACTAGGAAGACTTCGAAGGATAGCGATTATTGTAGGACGTTCTCGCCCTCTTCATTTACCCTGCATTCACCGCACTATCTGATAGCCATTGATCATGAAACTTTGCTTGTTTCGTTGCAGGATGGAGTGCTACTTAAACTTGAGAAGAGTGATGCATTACCTGAAGGTATGTTAATTTGGATACAGAGCTTGTTCGGCTTTGTACTGACGGCGGGGCAGATCCTGAGATGTCGGTGTCACGATATGCCGAGAAGACATTTAGTGAAGGTACCTATATGGCTTTTTTCAAAAATAGGATGCCGTACTTCAGGCCCGGGACTGTCAAACACGGCCGTGACAATGTTTCGTTTTCAGCAGTTATATCTTCGGCGGTCTATTTCCCGCGACAGTGCGAAGACAGTATGGGGGAAGGGCATCAAGTTGGCCCACTTTTGTTTACCGTCTCGGTGGACCATACCTTGAAGACATGGTCATTAGACAAAGGTATTCTGTTACACGCGACAGACTTGCTCAATGAAACCGCTCCTCCGTCGTCTAAAATGAAGACCCTACTATCTCCAGCGTCGTCTCAGCTATTAACTGTAATCGACACCTCGTTCCGGGATGACCACATGTTTTATCTTGTCAGCTTTTCCTCTGCAACAACCGGAAAGTTCAAATTCTGGGCTGCTCAGCAGGGATTCGATGGGGAATATCAAGGGCTCGTAGATTTATACCCAGATAGAGAGTTCACGGCGGATCCCCCTACGTTGAACTCGGTTTGGATGATATCTGAGTTCCGTGTCACACCTGTATCAGGTGATAACAACGGCCTCCTCAATTTGTGGGTTCTATGGAAGAGTAATACAACCTTCCGGGTGCAAAATCTACAATTCCACATCCTGAACGTTGGAGAATACTGGAACACCTGGGCAACTGCAACTGCAGACTCTCTACACGGGCTTCCTGGTATCCCGCCCAGCAATGTCACCTCCGAGGATATCACAGATTATTGGATGGATTGGATATTCTGCCCCGGAAGATTCAGCGATTCTCTCCTCCTTACAGCATTGGATATTCACCGATTGTTCTATTGGGCGACTGCTGGCTCCCCAGTTGACGATCCAGCAGATCCATTACAGAGTAGAGTTGCTAAAGCCATCCCTGGTGCTGTCGAATTGCATAAGACCGAGGATGGGTCGCCAGATTATGAAAGGTATAATCACGAGCTTAACACACAATGGGTGAGATATGCTCGTTTGTGTACCGAGCTCGACAAGCAACGATGCGAAGCACTATCCCTTGTGGCAGATCCCCATACGGGTTTCGTGTGGACTGTAAACGCGGACGGAATCACCGCACTACGAGAATGCACTGAATCTGAGATGATGCAGCACAACCACCTCACCTTTGCGTTGAACAAGGAAATACTCTCACTGCGGTCACCTCGGAAGCTTGGGGCTGGGTTAGCGAATACAGAGTTATCTGATGCTATGCTTTTAGTGCAGGCTGCCACGAATTTGAGGAATAGTCTGACCGGAAAGCTATACGAAAACTGTCTATGGAGGTTACAAAGGGAAGTGTTGGAGGATGGTGTGTTTGCATTCGAGGACCGGATGTTGTCACTTTATCAGAATTGCCTGGAAGGGGAGATTTCAGATGATGATTGGGACAAATTTGAGGAGACGACAGAAGCAATGAATGATCCACAAACGGCGTTCTACTCTATATTGTCGAGTTTGTTCCAGGCTGAGGGACATGCTGGAGCGGCTAAGCTGACAGCATTCGGAGGGAGAGTGCTCGTGGCTGGGAGCCGTGAAGTCATTCATGTCAACCATGATATTCTGTTTGGCCTGGTGTTTGTCCTGCTGATGCTCGTCTTCGAGGGGGGGCATCCGAAGATCGATAGCCCTGATTCGTTATACCTGCAGCTCCTGAACTATATGCGGGAGTATGAGGTCCTTAACTGGATGGCACGAACACCTCTGTCGATTCCTGACTCTAGGCTTTCGGCAGACGACGAGCTCGCAAAAGGATTGGCAGGTCTAAAAGTCACTGGATCAGACCAGGCAGTCGTTTCACAGAAGAGGAAAGGTTCAGTCCTCCAGCTGACGCTTCCCGAGAACTCCGGCCCTCCCCCTCATGGACCTGGCAGAAGCGGCTCCGTGGCGATATCTGTATGTATACGGCGATATTTGGCCAGCTTGGAACTCACAAATCACGGGAATGGATTCGCAAATGTCGGCGCTGCGCTCTTGGGCACCAACGCTGTTGCAGTCGCGATGGAATTTCAGAGGCATCTTCCAGCTACAAGTTGGGGATTTTATGTGAGAGCGAGAATACAGTTGAAGGATGGCAGTAAAGATACTGCTGCAGTAACCTTCAAGAAAGCTGCTTACGGACTAGGTAGGTTTTTCATCTTTTCTTAGGACTTCTTGCGCTAACACTTCTTTCAGCTATAGCCAACCCAACACACCTCTCCACCATAAAATCACTCTTGAGCGAAACTGATCTTGAGACTTCTATCGGAAAGGGCCTACCGCAATATTATCTACATGTCGCATGCTTATTTGAGGAGGCAAAAGAACCAGAATACCTCGTCGAGTTCTGCCAATCGGCCTTGACAGCATTAGGAGACGAAGTAAGCATATTTTCCCATTCCCCCTGGTTTCCCCCATTTCACCACTAACCCTCCACAGAACGATTCTGCAATCAGAACAGAAATCCTCCTGAAACTTTTCCAATCAACATTATCCCTCTCCCTCTTTGACGAAGCTTACCTAGCACTAACCTGTTACACCAACAAACCCCTCCAAAGAGCCGCCCTGCGGGAACTCGTCGGCGCAATGGTCGAACAACATGAGGGCGTAAGGTTGTGCCAATACCCCTTCGTTGGTCTCCAGGATGATGTAGATGAAGCCTTGGCATTCAAGTGCTCCACAATAATGGACGTGTCCGAAGGCCCGCAATTCCACAAAGTCCTGTACGCATGGAGGACACAGCGGGGCGATTATAGGGGAGGTATGGCACACCCTTACCCCACACCAAGTGAGCAGACAGTTACTGATTTGTCAATAATAATAAAGCGGCATCAATCCTCTACGAACGTCTCCAACGTCTGCAAACCGCAAACATCGGCTCTGCTGACCCCAGTTCATGCAGTGTCTCCGACGGCTTCTTGGTCTTACTCAACGCGCTGTCGTGCGTTGGTGGAGAACAGGCTTGGATATTATCCACCAAACGTGCGGAAGGGGATGAAATCACCGGTGGTGGGAGTACAAAGAGGGCGAAGCTTGCTAATAGTATGATATACCTCCCTCCCTCACTCATCCTACTTCCTATTGCTACGTTTAAGAGGTGATATTGACGGGATTCTAGCAACCACTTCCTCACCCCAATACCGACAAGTAGTCACGCTAGAGGACGTCAGGAAGGACTACCAGAATGAAGTGGAGAGGATTGGTTTGCTGCTTAACGGGGGGTTCTTCGTTTAAGTTACCTTCTTTTATCATAATATTATGTCCAGAGGCAAGTAAACGGGTAGGGGTGAGAGCGGAATACTCGTACCATGGCGTAGTCGCGGAAACCATTTCCGTTTACCCATTACTGTATGATATAATTTGGGGTTTTGCCGGAATAATTTAGTTATGATGCGGCCTCTTTTTTTGTTACTCCGTTCTCTTGCTACGCCCCGATACTCTAGGGGCAGATACAAGTACGACATCATAGAATGCAGGAACAGGTTTAGAAAAAAAACCATAAGGCACAATTTATCACTCAAATTTGCATCCTTCGTGCACCGTGTCTAGAATTTCTCAACGTGCCTAAAGCCTCGTCATCAGCCCTCCATTGAAACTGTCATCATACTATTCCACGCCCAATCAACCCAAAACCCAAAACATTCCCGTCGCCGGCTCCGCCACCGCACACCAATAGGCCCAGCCCTATCGCTGACACCACAGGCACTGTAAATACATTGTCATGTTATCATAATGATCATGTTATTACAAATAAATAAATAAACCCTAATAAGTCCATCCCGCTATCCGCAGTACTCGTACACTACTAGCACAACTAGCTACCAGTGTATAAACAGTATCGTGTAATAGAAGTTGAAGAAGTGGCGGTGAGGTTAAGTTTTTTTTGCCGGCCCTATTGGGAGGCTTACCTGGTGGAAATGGAGAACCGACGCATAGGATGTCACTCGGATACCGTACTATCATAGTTTCCGGTTATCCCTCCCATGTTGGGATGTTGGCCCCTAGTTTTGTTTCCGTATTGATTGCTTGGGGCAGGCAGGTAGGTCAGGATTAATGGACAGGATGCGGCTCTGGAGTCGGTTTGTCATAACTTATCCGTTGCCTCGACCGTACGTACGAGTACCGTGGGATCGTGTCGGAAGGTATCCCACTGTGGGGAGGGGGGGTATGTTGGCAACAATATACTATACATGCGGCAAGAGCCCTTAAAAGAGGGGGAGCTTTTGTAATACTTGCGTATCGTCTGAGCTGCGTGTCTGGCTCCCCAACGTTCCTACCAGATGACGTATCTCCCGATGCGATTATAGGTATTTGCGAGCGCGCTTCCGTGTGCAGTACCAGCGCCGGCAGCGCAATCCCTCGTCCACGACCACTAAACACCACAACACCTCGAACCCATAATCATCCCACTCCGCCTCCCCCCCGACCAACGGCCAACAGCAAAGCTTCATGAGTTATCAGGACAAAACAAAAACTTTTTTTAATGAGTTACTGTATGTACTCGTTCATAACCCATCCATCCTTCAATTGGTTTCCAAATCACACAAGACTCCCAGGACGCCACCAGAATAAATAACTGAAGGAGGGGGGAAAGGAAAAACGGGGGAAAGAACGCCACTATAGGAAGATTAACGTGAAAAGACAAAAAATCGAGAAGGAGGACCAAAAAGAGATTGGGGAATATGAAATCTGTGTCAAGCCTCCGCATTCCGTAGGCGGGGCGGAATCTATCGGAGTAAAGGCGGCCTAATAAAGAGAAGATAGGGGCAGAAGAAAGAAAAAAGTGACCAAGAATAAACCAGACGCCATTTCCACTAACTCGTAAAAACGAAAACCCGTATGTTACATACCACCGAGGATATCGGCTGACCTACTATACAAACCTATAAATGTTAGTATTGCTGGGAATTTCGGTTTTCGTGCTTCTTTTATACCGCCTACCGTCAATTGAGTAGGCTCGCGATGGTGATAGTCGGAGAAGGTCGATCGAAAGCGATGGATCGCTCGGGAATCGGAGTCGAAGGTGCAGGAGGAGTAAGGGGGAGGATCACTTGCATTGAGCCAGGGACCTCAGTAACTTTAGCTATCTCTACAGAGCTAGCGATAATGGGGGCATCATGAGACGCAAGAGCTGCTGCTGCTTTTGCGACCGCTGCCGCAGTAGGTTTTCGAGTCTTTGGTGGTGTTGTTGTCGTTGCCGCCGGGGGTTTTGTTTTTGGTGATCTAACTTGAGCCTTGGTCGGTTTAGCTACCACTTTCTTCACAACTTTAAAAGCAGTCGCAATAGGCCCAGGCTTCCGAGCATCTACCTTGACCTTCGACTTCGAGGCTGTTGCCTTGGGTGCGGGTTTTGCCTTCGCTTTCGATTTTTTCGCTGCGGGTTCCGTCTTCGTTTCCGATGCCGGTCGTTTCTTCGCATTCTTTGCCGGTTTAGTAATCTTAGGATGGGGACTAATCGAGGGACTAAGAAGTTGAGGAACATGGACCTCCACAGAACTGCTATCTCTAGGAGGCTCGTCGGGATCAAGCTCGATGAAGGAACCACAGCTATCGCTATCCGTCTCGATCTCCGGTTGCGGTTGGCTCCCATCCCACCTTGGCAAGCTCGCCATCTTCGCAACCTTTTCACAATCCCCACCAACAATCAAGTCAAAGACTCCTTCAAAGTCTCTTCCCATTGGGGGCGCGTCTTCGTTGATCCAAACAGTCATTCCTCCACGGTAATCCTGAACAACACCGCACATTTCACGGACAATTCTCCGAACACCGGGTACCTTGAGGCTCGTTCCGACAACAATAAGACAGTCGGGACGGGACTTCAGATCGGCCTTAGTGACTGCGCCAATCGCCTCCGCATCTGGGTTGAATTCGTTGTAGAGAACTATTCTGGGGCGTAGTTTACCGACTCCAAGAGCTCGCTTGCCGGCAATGCCTCTCACACAATCCATCTCAAGGCACTCCGAGCAATCCGGGGGCTCCGAACCCCTAAAAAGCGACGCCTCAAATTCCGCCAACCACCCACACTTTGAACAAACCATTTTCTCTAACCCCCCATGCAATTGGATTGTCCTGGGCCACGGTCCTTTATTGCCAAGCGGCACGGTAGTCTTCAGGGGCTCCAATTGTGTGTCAATGCAGTCGACGTTTTGCGAGTAAAGTCTAAGAAGCCTGCCTTGTGTTGCCAACGTGGCCAGAAGGTGGTGAAACAGGGTCGGAGTGGCCTGGGTGGTCATTGAATGTAAATTTCTGACCATTTCGTGGAATGAGGAAGTGAGTTGATCATCTTTGTAAACAGAAGCATCGAATAGCTCTTTGCCAGAGGTCTTCAGCTTCATGTCATTTCTAAGGGAAGAAAACAATCCCCCAGAAGAGCGGAAATCGGGAACTGTGTAACCATGCTGAGTCAGCGCTGAGACGGACATCCAGAGTGGATACGGAGAGGCATTGAAAAACCACACCAAAAAAAGGGCGGAAGCGAGGACTAGGGCTGGATGATTTTTGCAGGAACAGACTTACTTCCGGCTCCAACAGAGATACCAGCGCCAGCAATAACAACTATCTTCTTCTTCTTGCGCAACAGCTTTAACAAAGTGTCGATTTGCGGTTTTTGTGCCTTTAATACTTCTTCCGTGAGTGGAAAGCGAAGATTGATATGTTGGGGGGGTTTCCGTTTAGGGGGTTCGGAAGGAGTAACTTTCTGTTTTTTGGGGGGAGGTTCCGTTTCGGACAGCATCGTGTATGTAGCAGGATGTTTTGAATGGGAGGAAGGTCGGGGGGTGCTGTTGTTGTTGTTGCTGCTGTTGCTGTTGTTGCGTGGAGAGGGAAACAAGAGGGGGTGGAGGACGGAGCTCGATTTCTGAAAGGAAGAGAGCAGTGAGGCGAACCAGGAAGGGCGAGGAAGGGCGAGGAAGGGCGGGAAGGAAGGGATGACGGAGGAGGAGGGCGAGGAGGAGGGTTAACAGCAGGAGAAGAAGTTGTTGTTGCCATGTTGCGTGCGGCACACAGCTGCAGAAGCCCAAGTTTACATACCCTCTCCCCTACCTCCTTCCCCCTCCTCCTCGCCTTCTGTCCAGGTCGCTACCAGTTACAATACAGCTATCATACTTCCTACAAGCACTGACACTAACACAGCAAAACCCACCGACCGGCCAGTGCTGGAGCCGACGGGGAAAAAAAAGTTGCATCTTGCTATGTACCCACCTGTCCGACAATTCTCGGCCTGCGTTTCAATGAAATGACAGCGAAGTTTGCTGATATCCTTTTTCTCCTCCTCGCTTTTCCTTTTCCTTCCAAGGATTGGGAAAATCTCACTGCTGCATACCCCCCCCTTTGCTTTGCCCTTTCCCTCTCTTGCAGCAAGGGGAGGCGGAGCCAAAGTATTGGGAATAGAGTGATGAATAAATACCATAGGATAGTTTATAAGAGAGAAAAAGCACGGCTCCCGATCTCGGACTGTTCATCGAGCTTTTATTCTATTTGTACGAAATAGTCCTTAGACTCGGCCATTCTAATACCATTTGCGTTGGGCAATCCACAAGATAGCATCCAATTATCTCTGCATTTTGTGCCGTCCAATACTTTTGAAGAGCACCCCAATATTCTGACCGAACATATGATTCGGCAGTGATATGGCTCGGTGCGAGACTGCATGATGTTTTGACAGTGAGACGCTGCCTTGTACGGTACAGTACTCGTGCAGCGTAGTAACCTATATTTATATCATTTTAACCACGATACGGTCGATATTCCATCCCTATTCCATCCAGTTTTCCTTTTTATTAAATTTTATTTGTTATTATTATTATTATTTCTAATGCGTCCATAGTTGGGGGGGGGTTAAATCGGTTGTCTTTATTTCATGTGTCAGGGCTGTCCCGCCATGGTCTTCTTGGAGTTCGTTTGGTGCATTGTTGGGGGAGAGAGAGGGAAAGGTTCGCCTACCGTAGCGGGCGCCCGGAAGGGGGAACTCTTCGGAACGGGCTACAGTACCATACTTGCTCACGCGGGTGACTACCTTCCAGGCGCATTACAGGACCCGATCCCCCCACTATATGCCTCCCCTAATCCTACCATATCAACAACACTGTAATGTGGGTGATGGTACCGTACGAACAAGGTGAAGGATACATTTGCGGTTCATCCGGGGGCTGGTACTCACGTACTGGTATGTACTGTGCGGTTGGAGTGCCGTAGAACACAGTACGACATAGGGCACTGCATCATAGGATGGCATGAAAGCGCTCGTTGCTGTAATGGGTTGCCCGCGTGTGTGCCGGATGTGTAAACTTGTGCATGATCAAGGTACTGTGGAGGGCGGTGGCCCTCGCTCCTTGGGTATGGTGGGTGCTGTGGAAGCGGCGCTCGAGTACGGTATCATACGGGCGAGTGGATGACCGGGGAAGGGGTAATGGGAACAATCAAGTTGAATTAACTGCCACACGAGGTGAGGAATAGAGAGGGGGTGGGGGAATGGGGAAGAAGAGGGAATAATATATTCAACGACGGGCGACAAGAGGGCGGAGGAGGAGTACAAGTACCGCAGACTATGATACCGGCTATGGAAGGAAGGTCGGTTAGAGATAGCTTTACAGCTGGCAGTCCCTTAGGAAATACCGGCAGAGAGTGTGAGTATGGTACTCAAGCAGATTCCATAGGGGAGTTTCGGTATAATATGTTTTACATTCCAGCGTACTAAAGAGAACGGGGGCCACGAAATGCTTGGTCCTTCCAAGACGGGTTAGGCTGGCCAAACAGGAGGAAGCCAGGCAAGGGAATATTATTCAGGTTGATGAAATCATGGGGCAAGAAGGCACTGGAGGTCGGACAGCTGCAACCGTAAAATTGACGCAAGTTTGGAACAAGCAGCCAACCTATCCCAAAAAATACCTTTTTTTTCCGGTTGGTTGTGTGGGTGGTGTGTGTGGGTGTGCGGGTGTTGCGCTTTATGTAAGCCGAGGATGTGGATTAGCTTGGCGAGGGTTCCCTTTACTTTCCTTTGGTTCAGCTTCCCCTCGAGCTCTTCCCAAACCCCGTAATTTTATGCAAGGCCCCACCCATCTCTCTTAGTCATCTCAGCCTCAATGTCACCCACGTTTTCCCTTGCGCGTGACACGTGAGTCTGATTAATTTTGACTCGAACTCGCGCTCCGTCACGTCTTCCCTTATCCAAGAGACTTGGAGTGATTATCTCATCCCCCACCCCAACCTTGACCATTTCAACCCCTCACTTGTTTGCTCACTCTTCAACTTGTATCATACCCCATTTCATTGTTTGGCCGGTTATTTATGATTCCTCGCCCCCCGCTACCCACTGCTTCAACATGATTCGGGATGAGTCTCTCAAGACGAAGAAACGTTTTTTTGAAGGCCTCTATTCCCTTGATTCGATTGTCGAGGATGACGACCTGTACGAAGAAAATCCAGTTTCTGCGCTACTAACAACGACAAAAGATCCTGCTATTAGGAGTCCTCGAGCCCTTCCTAAACTCACCCGGGCTCGCACAGCCGCTACGTCGAGTGCAAGGCCCGTTTCCAGTTCGAGGGCTGCCGTTTCAAGGACCCTTTCTCTGCCCGCCCAAAAGCTTCACCCTTCCACCGTGCCTAACAGGCCTACGCCTACACTCTCGACTCCTACTGTCGTGGCTTCCTCAGCTCAGTCCAAGACGTCTCGTCCCCCGGGTCTTCACGATTCTTCAACATTTACTGTGACTCCCTCTTCTAGGGCTTCCGCTACCGCCACTCACTCATCACCGCCTCTACCTGATATGCCATTGGTGCATACTCCAACGCCGACAGCCCCTCCTGAATCCTCGAGGATGTCTGTTGTAGGATCTGGGGGTTCTACAAAACGAAAACGTTCCTCAAAGGCGGCCAAACAACCGACGGCTAGGGACTCTCAACTCGTTTTTTCAGACCTTGTTTTCTGTGGGTGAACGAAGATCGTGTTTGCCCTTGGCTGAAATTACTTACGATTTTCGTAGACTTTATTCCAAACGATATCAGGAATCCGGCGAGAAAGATGCGAATTCAGAAAGCTGCTGAGTTTGGCGCTTTTTGTATCAATGAGTGGAACGACGAGTGTATGTATACGATAGACTACCTTATGAATATCAACTCGCCACAGTTCTCCATTTACTTTTAAAAGGCATGGATCCGGCTGATGCAGTGGAACATAAGTTATCACTCATGTTATTGTCGAAAGCCATTTCAAATATCTCGATGTCCTCAAGTACCTGAAACTTGAGAAGTTACCAGTAATTAATATTCTGATTTCCTTCAGTCTTGCAAATTTCTGAGCGGTAGATTCCTTGCAGGAAAACATCATCGTTGTGAACCACGAATATACAGGAGACTGCCTGCATCATGGTCGTATTCTTGATCATGCCCAGAAGATTTACGAGGTTCACGGCCGTGCGCCCCTGTCACCACCTCAGGCTCCGGCCCCACCGCCTTGCCCTTCTATAAACGAAACACCTTCATCACCACAAAGTCTTCAAATTAAGCCCTCCCGGCGGAAGAAGGCTCTAGAGAGGTTATCTTAGGCGCCCACTTTGAAATAAGGGTTACAGTCCTCCTAACGTATATGCAGCACTCAAACCTCTTCGCACCCGCCCTCTAGCCTCTCGAGCTCACATCCTTTCGAAATTGATGCCCCGGTACCCACACGCAGCGATTACGTAACTTCATCTGCGCCCGAAGGGATGGCCCCTAAAGACGACCTAGACATGATGATTTATGAAGCAAAGAAAATAGGCCCCTTGGTAAGCACAGGATATATCACTCGCCTCAAATTGCTGATGGTTTGAAGCCGCTAGAAGACGAAGAGGAGTCGAAGAGTGTGGAGGGGATAGAGACGACGGATGACGAGCAGGATTCGCTGGAGCTAGCCAAAAGGCAAAAAACCGGAAAAAAAGGCAGGAGAGGAAAGAACGATAAACCGGGACGCTATCTAGGGACGTTTCAGTGCCTGCAGAAAAACGATGGGAATCAGATGGAGGATAATCCTAATCAGAGGACTATTGAGATTGTGAGGTTTGGAGCAGAAAATTCGCGGAAGAATATACTAATGGCGATGATGAGTAGTTATCGGAGATGCAGCGCTATTATGAAATGCTGAAAGATACTTGGAGGTCTCTGGGGTACCGGAAGGCTATAGCTACTTTGAAGAAACAGGATCATAGGATTAGGTTTGCTAATGAAGCTCGAGAGTATGCCCTCTTCCTAACTCTACTTGAGATTCGTACTCATTTATCAGGCTCCCTGGAATTGGCGACAGAATAGCCTTAAAAATTGAAGAAATAGGTGACCTCTCTCCCATTTGCATAATCGTCCCCTGGTTCTAACCTGTATCAGTCCGAACCGATCGCCTCCGAAGGCTTGATTACACAAAGATGGATCCTGAAGATGAGGCATTGAGGCTCTTCCTTGGAATTTACGGCGTAGGGTGAACAACCCTGGTGCCCCCCAGACAAGTCCACCCGCTAATACACACCTTCTCAACAGTGGAGTAAAGGCTCAGAAATGGGTAGATGCAGGGTATAGAACTCTGGATGACATAAAAGCCCATGCACGACTCACCTCATCTCAGCAGACTGGGATTGAGCACTACGAAGATTTCCAACAACGCATCCCACGGGACGAAGTGAAGCAGCATGGCGACATTGCCATGCGTGTTGCGCACGAAATTGATGCCGAACTAAAGCTTGAGATTCTAGGATCGTACAGGCGAGGTGCTAAGGACTGCGGCGACGTGGGATCCTTATCGACCCATCAGTGGCGTGAATAGTTGGTTAATTGGTTGGCGTAGATTGACATCATGATTACCAAAGAGGGTGCGGAGGCCTATGCAATTACCGGTAGGATATCCTCCCCTAGTATTTTTTTTGGCTTCCAATTGTATAGTATTGACTATTGAATAGAGATTCTCCGCGAGCTCGTCGAAAAGCTCTTCGAAATTGACTTTTTGCAATGCGCCCGTATGTTCCATTCACGATAATATATCCACCAAAGAATATTCAATAACTCCTCGCAGTCGCAATCCCAAGAGGCTCAGACAGCGGCACAAAGTGGCATGGCGCATCGAAAATCTCCTCGGGGCCCTGGCGTCGAATAGACTTCCTAGTAGTCCCCTGGGCAGAGCGTGGCGCGGCTCTACTATACTTCACAGGCAACGACATCTTCAACAGATCCCTCCGTCTCTTAGCCTCCAAAAAGGGCTTCAGACTCAACCAGAGTGGACTGTACAAAGATGTTTTGCGCGGAAAGGACAGAACAAAGTTCACAGATGGAGCCCTGATGGAGGGCGAGTCGGAAGAGAAGATTTTCGAAATCTTGGGCGTGCCGTACAGGCCGCCAGAGCACAGGGTTTGCTAAGTAGTAGTGGTGTTGACCGGAGGAAAGCCTGTTTATGATATGGTCCCGCCAGACTACTAGTACGAGTAGACACCACACCAAATTTCTATCAGAGGGTGCGACAGCTTATAATGTATTAGGGCGCGTCTGGTCGCCCGGGGCTTTTCAAACCTTCCTAATTACAAAATCTTGGTTGCAGCTGGCAACCGCAATAATCACAAGTTGTCATAATTGACCATTCTCAAGTTCCGAGAAGTGTGTCTGGTTGGCAGGAAAATCAATTATTATTCTATCTTTTTTCCATCCCAAAAATTGGTGGTTGTAGTGGGTGGTTGCAACTCGTGCACACTGCTCCAAAATGAAGGTTTGTGAAATGCAAAATAGAGATTTGCGGCAAACTTATAATGACGGTTTGGTGTGGCGACCAGTCGCGCCCTCAAACGATACCAAGCGTTGCTGTACTGTACTCGAGCACCGCTGTGTACCGTAATACCGATTTGAACCTTGACCCGCCGGGGGAGGCCACTAAAATAAGCATAGGAAGGAACATTGGCATTTAGAGTTATGGTAAGGAAAGCTGTGTTCTAGAGTATCCCTATACGAGTACCAGGGTTAGAGCTAGATGATGATGGTGAGGTTCTTGAGAAATCGGATTTTGGTATTGGGTGTTTCTGTGGGGGGCTGTGAATTTAGTGGCCGGTTGGTTGGTTGGTTGGTGAGACCATACCATCCGTTGAGGGTGAAATCATGCTCGAGTAAATATCTACGATAGCTGAAGATTCTACACAACCCCCCGTCCCCTGAATTTGCTAGCCCGCTGTTGCGTTTTCCGCCTCATCATAGCGCCCAGGTTCTCCCACCCGACTCTCCAATGCTGATCAGTGTCCTCGACTTAATTTACTCATCCTCTTCGTAGCAATAAATTAAGGCCTGCGATTAACCTTCCACAGCACGTGTACTGGAGGTTATGATCACCGTAATTAGCTGCAATGGCTGGTGGAGAAGGAAGCCAACACACCAAACAAACGAGTGATCCCCCATGTTGATCACGCACGCTGTGGAAGTTAGCCGATAAGGATTTTCGCGTCTAACCCGGGGCACGGCGGGGCTGTAAATATCTCATTGACCTCGGGCTATCCCGCATCTTGAAGCGATAGAGTACTCGTACTCGAGTATTAGTACAGACACGAAGAGTTCTCGGATGGGCTTTGTTTTTTCCTTTTTCCTTTTTCTCTTCGGGGGCGAGCGGGCGAAATTTAACTTGCCTGACAATGTAAATTACTGTACGAGTACGGCATCGTTATTGAAATGGGTTTATGCCATAATTGTTGTTACCTTTGGAATTGGCTAACTGCTGGAAGGGAGATCGCCGGTAAGACTTTTACGAGTGCTGGTGGACTAAGGTGAATCCCGAACATGATTAACCGCTGAGTTTTGTTTTGTTTCTGGTTTGATAATACTCGAGTATAAAAAAATTACTGAGGTTATTGCGTCATGGTGGTAGGTACGTAGGTAGAAGTACGATACTCGAGTATGATACCCCTCCATCTCAGCTCATTCCAAGTATGATACGGTAAACCCCTCACTTTTTTTCTTTTTCTTCACCATACTGGTATCGTACCATAGCAAACGACAAAAACATAGCTTAAGTTATACTTGAGTAGGCTCTCCCTGACTGCGTACGAGTACTGTAGTCTACGGTAGAGTGGTAGAGTACTTGGTTCTGACATTCCCCCTCATATCGCCTCATCTTACTCTGCCCTTCCCCCCTCCCTCTTCTTCTCCCTCTACGTCCCTTGAGATTTGCCTAATACAAAATTTCTACTTCTACTTCCTAACTGCAACAACCTCAAAATGTCGCTTTCTAATAAGCTTGGTATGTTTGGTTCTATCTTTCTTCTTCTTTCTATTTTGTTTTGTTTTTCCCCTGTAATTAGTTTTTGTTTTAATTTTGTTTGGCAGCGTTAATGGATGAATTGCTAATGCGGCAGATAATTCATAGCTATTACTGACCTCGATCTCAAGGGAAAGAGAGTCCTTATTCGTGTATGCCCCTATATCCTTACATCACCCACCTCTCTTGCGGAGTGGAAAATTTTAACAGACGGAAAATAGGTAGACTTCAACGTCCCTCTTGAGGGGACTATCATCACGAACAACCAGCGTATTGTCGCAGCCTTGCCTACTATAAAGCATGCTCTCGAGTCGGGGGCCAGATCCATTGTGCTGATGTCGCACTTGGGACGCCCTGATGGAAAGAGAATTGAAAAGTACTCTTTGGCACCAGTGGCCAAGGAATTGGAGAAGTTGCTTGGTGTCAATGTCATCTTCTTGGGCGACTGTGTTGGCCCGGATATTGAGCAGCGTGTTGCGAATGCCCCCGATGGTTCGTTTCTTTCTCCCTATTCTACTCTTCACTTTTCTTTTTGCTAGCTGAAATACCTAGAGATGTTAACTTATCTGAATTCGTAAATCCGAATAGGAGCAGTGATTCTCCTAGAAAACCTTAGATACCACGCTGAAGAGGAAGGAAGCTCCAAGGGGCCGGATGGCAAGAAGGTCAAAGCCGATACAGAGAAAGTAAAGGAGTTTAGAAGATCTTTGACCTCATTGGGCGATGTTTACATTAGTTTGTTCCCTCATTTCTTCATCTTCAAGCAGCTCAGTTAGTTAATTACTTTTTCTTCCATTTCCCTCACAAATAGATGACGCCTTCGGCACTGCCCATCGAGCCCATAGTTCTATGGTTGGTATCGACTTGCCGCAGAAGGCATCTGGTTTCCTCATGAAGAAGGAGTTGGAGTACTTTGCCAAAGCTCTTGAATCCCCGGAACGCCCATTCCTTGCTATCCTCGGCGGTGCCAAAGTATCCGACAAGATTCAACTTATTGACAATCTAATTCCCAAGGTTGATTCTTTAATTATTTGCGGTGGTATGGCGTTTACTTTCAAGAAGACACTTGAGGGTGTCAAGATTGGTAATTCCCTGTTCGATGAGGAGGGTGCTAGGACGGTTGGTGAGGTTATCGAGAAGGCGAGGAAACACGGTGTGGAGGTTGTTTTGCCTGTTGACTATATTACTGCGGACAAGTTTTCGAAGGATGCTCAGGTTGGATATGCAACTGATGAGCAGGGCATCCCCGATGGGTGGATGGGATTGGATTGCGGGGAGAAGTCTATTGAGTTGTGCAAGGGCACTATAGCTAAGGCTAATACTATACTCTGGAACGGGTATTTGATTCTCGCTCCTTGGTGGGGATTCCTTGCTAACTGTTACAGGCCCGCTGGCGTCTTTGAGTTTGACAACTTTGCAAAGGGAACCAAGGCTATGTTGGACGCGACTGTCGAGGCTGCAGGGTCTGGCAAGATTGTTATCATTGGTGGCGGTGACACTGCAACTGTGGCTGCGAAGTATGGTGTTGAGGATAAGCTGAGCCATGTCTCGACTGGTGGTGGGGCGTGAGTGGTCGAATGTGCCTTTATTTCAACAGGGAAGTATGGCTAATATGTGTGATGCAGTTCATTGGAATTGCTCGAAGGCAAGGACCTTCCTGGTGTCTCTGCTCTCTCGGTAAGTCCTCTTGAAGTTTAATTGGCTCTGAGAAAAAGAAAAAAAGGCTAACCGGGCTGTAGAGCAAGTAGACGGGATTCACTGAATGGAAGGACAACTGAATGGAAGGACGACTGAATCCCGCGAGAAGGATCTGTAGTTATCAGAACATCTAGTCCCTGAGCCCAACCAACTTCCACCTTGGCGGAGGAACAATAATATAGAAAAAAAAACTCTGGCTCATGACAACATGAACTGTCCCAATTTTTAATTTTTTTGCGCACAATACGTAGAAGGAACCAGATAACTATCATCGGGCATCGTGATCTCCACGGGTCCCTTGATCGTTGGAGAAGCTATGCTACAATCGAAAAAGAACATCCCATCCAATTCTAACCAGCGACGAGAGTGAATCTTGTATCGAAACGGCAGGTGTATTATTTATTTGGCGGGGTTCTTTTTAAGCTCTTCCCTATACATCTCCAGGCAAAGGCGTTAGCGTATATGAACTCGATGAGACAGAAAAATGAAGGGACGAACCTCAGTTGGGTAGAAAAGTCCTCAGTGGTATCATCATCATCCCAACTCTCCTCCCACAATCTCCCACCGGGAGGATTCTGTACATCAGTTTCGCTCTCCTTCCAATCTATTACTCCCCCGCCACACCACCACATCCAAGATTAGCCCCACATCCTCGCAAGTTCAACCAGGCCCTCTGTAGCTCACCTTCGACGGGAAAGTCCTCGAACTCGTCATCCTCCTCCAGCGATAATGCTTGTTTCTGTGGCTCCTTGGGCTTATCAGCCGCAGAGTCCTTGGGATCGGTGGTCTTTGATGGTTTTGATGAACTGGACATTTTTGTGGTGTTGGAGGCTGGGGTTGGATGTTGTTGAAGGGGGGTGGCTTGATTGATGGATGGATGGATGAGGTTGATGCCGTTTCTTGTTTGAACGATACGAGTACGTTCGTACTTGTAATTCGGGAATTACAAATCAGGTTAGGTTAACTTAGTGAGCTCTGCCAAGACTATCAGTGATCAATGTTAAACCGAGCTTTTCTCGCTTTTCTTTTTCTTGAGGCAGCCATCGAGATAGGCAGGTCCGTCCAATGGAATACAATCAGATACAATGGAATACAATCAGATACTATGGGGTGGATGGAATGTAGACTACTCGTATATCGGTAAATTATGGTGTTCGTTGAAGTGCTATATTTCTCTCTGTATGAAATGATAATCGCATGGTCTGGCTCCCCTCGTTACGTTGTGTTTGGTTGCACGCTCCACCGAGCAGACCGTACAACCTATGTGCTGACACGGTATTATATCTCTATGAGTGAAGTCTATGGGGATAAGCTGGCTTTGGGTGCTCGAGTGTTCGAGTACACCGGATGTATAAATAATAATCAAACCGGGTGCAGTATCGTACTGGACTCATAGAAAATCGAGGGATAAAAGACACAAGGTTAAAAAGGGTCCCGCCTTCTTGCTCCTCATCATCTTCTTCAACTTCTTTCATGCCTCGTAGTATTATACTGCTGTAGAGTAGTCTGTTTGACTGCTGTAGCAAGAGTGTGCGTGTTGTCATCCCGCGCGTCTTCCTTGTCCTTTATTCTTGTTCTTGCTCCCTTCCCGTGCTTTACTATTACTGTGACTTAAGGGCTTACCAGTGTCTCCCTTCCTCTCTTCACCTCCCGCCCCCCTCCCCCTCCTTAAGTCCTCGCAGCTTTTCGGGGACCTTATCTTTCTTCTTCATCTACTTCCTTCATTTGTTAAATTGCATACTCGGCATCACACTCTCTCACTACCGGAAAGAAAAGAAAAAAATAAAAAAAATCACCAGCACCAACATGTTCCGAGGATGGCTTGGAGGAGGTGGTAGTGGAGCACTTGTCACACACTCAGCTTCTTCACAATCGTTAAGTGCTCTGGATGAGCCACAAGCATGTTTGTTCTAATGAAGATTTTTTATTCCCTACGGTGAAACTTTTTTTTTAGCTAATGTAAGATTCTTGAAAAATATTAGTGGAACAGGCTTTGAGAGGTAGTGCAGTTTTCCTCTTTTCCTTAAGCCGTGCTTGCAAAAACAACTTTTTGCTGATTTTGTGTGTTGGATTTTCTTTAGCAATGGATCTGCTCATGGATGATGATGTTGCCGGTGCTGAAAAAGCAATTGGGGATGGGAGTTCAAGCTTTCATAAGGTTGGCCCCGCGTCATCCCACCTTTATCCTCCACCTTCCTTTATCACCTACGCACTCGGGACTTTCCCCTTTTCTTTTCGTTATGGGGCTGGATAGTAATACGGTTTCCTAGCTCGCCGGTGGAGTGATAGGTTTCTTGCGAGCAAGTTTAGGATTTGAACCAGAAATTATGAAAGAAGGTTTTAGTTTACTATGAATTTCTTGAGAAAGAAAATAAATAAAAATCAGGATATGGGTTGACGTTTGGATTTTTGCTCGGCTCTTTCTTTTCATACGTGCAGCTTCTGATAGGCTTGCGGATGCGGAAGGCTCGGCGGATAGGGACCAGAAGAAAGCTATTCGGGAAAAGATTCAACGATCGTCGTTCCCGCCGGGTACGGAGTTCGCCCTGGCGCACGCGGAGTCGCAGTTGATGTCTGCGGTTGTGGGCGTGTTGTCGGAATCGGTGGTCGAGTCTATGAAGGCTTTCTACAAGATGAGGAGTGCGTATAAGACTTTGGAAGGGCTACAGGCGCATGTGGCTGTAGCCCTTCCTAATACTCCGCTGGCACGATTGGATGGGATGGGTGGGAGCAAGGTTAGCTTACCAAAGTCTCTGAAGGCTCCTAAGAGGGGGTCTGACCACGATGGGAACAGCTTAAATGCTGGAATGGCTGGCTTGGATATGAGACCGGCGTCGGCGAGTGAGGTGCCCTCGAGGAATTCAAGCGCTAGTCGACGGTCGGCTACGTCTTTGGACTCGCAATATAATTCAATGGATAAGTTTATCATCTCTGGGGCAAATATGTGTTTCGGAATGCTGCTGCTTATCCTTGGAATGGTGCCGCCCAGCATGAAGAGGATCATGGCCATTGTTGGATTTAGGGGCGGTGAGAATCCCGCTATTCCACTTTCGTTGGTGAACAGTTTTGCTGACCGCCCTGCTATCAGACCGCGAAAGGGGTGCTGAAATGCTTTGGGAAGCTGCCAAGTTTGACAACATCCATGGTGCCATCGCGGTACTTACAATTCTCCAGTACTATGGTAACATGGCTCAGTTCTCAGATATCACCCCCGACGACAACCATCCTTCCGGTATTGGGTATCCAGCCGATAGATGCCATGAGGCATTGGGGTGGATTAGAAGGCGGTATCCAAATGCTGCGCTTTGGAAACTTGAGGAGGCGAGGATGGAGGCCGTTAAAGGCAACCTTGAGAATGCTGTGACGATGTTATCCGTTCCGGTTGTCACGCAGATGAAGTACCACCCGTGCATTCCCTTGGACTAAGACATTGGGCTTATTGGATGAAGGCAGGTTGAGGCATTGATACTATTTGAGAAATCTTTGAATCAGATGTTCCTGCACCGATATGAAGATGTTGCAGCCGGCTTCATCAAGGTTTCCCATTCGAGTGATATTTTGTGATTGCTGCTAATGTATGTTAGCTTATGACACTAAATAACTGGAGTCACGCTCTTTATAACTAGTAAGTATCCGTACGCTCGCTGCGGGTTTAGAGCGAATGTTAATTTACTTGCTAGTTTTGCGGCCGTTTGCTACATTGAATTGTATAGGCAAGCTAAGACTTCTGATACTGAAAAAGCGGTGTGTATACTGGGAATACACATTCGAATATTATATTAATTGAGGATTAGGAGGGCTGGGCTAAAAAGGCAGAGGATTTGTTCGAGAGGATACCATCTTTCATGGGCAAGAAGCGATTCATGGCTCAGGGTCTTCCGGTGGAAGTCTTTGCGGATAAGAAGATCAAGAAATGGGTTGCTCGGTCCAAGGAGAGGGGCATTAGACTTGCCGATGCTGTTGGTGTCAGCCCCGTTGAGGAGATGATGTTCTTCTGGAACGGGTACAGACGAATGGACCAGGAAAATTTCGAGATATCCTTTCAGGCATTGCAATACTGGGGGGATCACGAAATGGAAAACGATACCATCGATGAGCAAGCTATTCGCTGGCTCTTGCTCAGTGCAGTCATGAGGAATGCCGGGAAGTGGGAGAAAGCGAGGGAATATCTTGAAAAGATCCAGAAGGTTGACAGAACCCAGTTTCGGGGAACTTTAGTCAATGATTATATGAGTACTTCCCCCTCAGTATTGTAATACCCGCCACAATTAACTAACACAAAGCAGTCCCCGCGGCATACTACGAACGCGCAGTCGGAATCTGGAAAGAGGCCAAAGAGCACACGCCAGAAATGCTAGCAGAGATGAGAGTCTTGCTAGACAAAGCCGCAAACTACGGAACCTTCGAGCTAGACGCTAGAATCGGAATGCGAGTGACGACGGCTCTGGACACCATCACGAGGTATGAGGTGTGGCTCAAGGAGCATAAGGAGACTGGAATCGCGGAGAAGGCACCGAAGGGGTCGGAGTGAGCTGATTGATTGCATTGTATATGTGACTGTGCCACTGTATGTCAATACAGGCAGTGAGAGGCTGTAGATTATCATAACTAGAGGGCGTTGTGCGCGAGCGATTCATATACTTTTCCCCTTTTTCTTTCTTGTTCCTCTGTTTCGATATGCGGATGGACGGATAGATGGATGGTGTGAGAGCGGGAGGAGGGGATGAGTTTTGTGGTAGTATTATCGCAGGGATATAGTTGATTTTCGGACCTATCTTGAGTGTTTATTATAGCGGTATTACACTATGGTAATCTGTATATTGTTTCGTGTTGGTGTGGTTTCAGTACTTTGCGGTTGGGTGACGGATAGACAATACGGCTGCTTCTGGGTGAGCTATTGTGGGGCACGCAAGTGGACTCAGGATCGTTGACGAAGAAGACTTTTTTTGTCACCATCGGCTGGTTTATTCTAAGTATTATATCATAACTCGGAAGTTGGTCCCGGTAGTCAGTGTGGGGTATTTATTGGGCATGAATAAGCCTGAAAGGGTCAATCAAGCAATCGACCTCCCTCAGAGCATCGACACCAGAGACATCAGGAGAACACTCTATCTTCTGCTATCTCCGCTATCATTTTCTTCGGTAGAACTATCGGATTATCCTGCTCCACTCTCCTCCCGCGGCGTCATGCATTTGCATGATTAAGTCACTTGTGTCTCCCCAGCCATAGAGCGGGAGGGGGGGATAGTCTACCTGTGAATTTCTGGAGAGTTTGAATATCAAGGGCCCCTTACTAAAGCTGGTGTTCCTCTCAGAGTCTGCGCGAATGGCATCGGAGTCGTGAGGTTTTTTTCTTTTGATTAAACCATAGAATTTTTTGGTTTAAGGCACAGACCTTGCATGTAATCTGAGTTACAGTGCCAAAAACGTTCCCCACAAGTCTAAGGAAAGACAAGTTGCCCCAAATCCCTCTGGTATGGGGCCAACTGCACATTCAATAGAGGGTTTGTGCAAGGAGACCTAGGTGGCAGTTAATAGAAAATAGACCTGGGTGTAGACTAAGAATAAGTTTGTGCAACAGGTTGTATCATAGGTATACGTTCCCTTCCTGTATCCCCTCGGCCGCTGAGACATTCAGTCCAGTTTGAAATGTAGAAAACTAACCGTATTAAGGAATTTTATCGCAGATCAGTAAACCTCATCTCAACTGTCGCTTTCTCACTCTTGAGGGAGTACCAATCCTGTATCTCGATATCAGACTATTTTCCAATTTCCAATAAAATGCCACCAAAAAGAAGAATCCAAGAAACTGGGGGTATGAATTCTGGTCCTCACCAAAGAAAGAAAATCCAATCTGGAAAGCTTCAGAGTCCCACCGGTGAAAAGGACGCTTCTGAGAGCCATGAAAACCAGAGTGAAATGGCTGCGATCTCGAATATAACACCTACGCTCCCGAGTGGGTCATCCGGAGTTATCGGAAATGGTAGAAGCACTGAAGAACGATTACTATGGCCTTCATTTCATGTACAGCGTTGCCCAGTATTACCCTGTCTTTCCTGGTTCCTCAAGGATCCTCAGCACTAAATCTCCCTTGCCAGATACCACCTGCCAGTGTGGAGAAACGGAAAACAAAATCCCGGATACCTGCTGCTATACTGCCCGGCCTACCCAAGTTTGAACCATTCCAAGTACCGTTCCCTGAGCACCAAGTACAGGTAAGCTACCAAACCAATTTCTGCAACTTCTCGATGGGTGTTTCAGTTGTAATATGCATATAAAATAGGCTTTATTACCGGCATATGTGTTAAATAGTCTAAGTCTGATCGCATTGTTTTCTCTATTTTGGGACAATCAAGTATTTGAGCAGCTTGCACTGCATACCAATTTGTATGCAAAAAAGAAACAGGAGGCAAAACCTAGTAAAGTGCCTGACTGACTTGGACACTGTCATGAGCGACTCGGAGCTGGAAACAGAATGAGACCATGGAAAGAGACCACCTCTCATGAGCTGAAGGTATGGATATGGATTATAATAAAAATGGAACTATACAAGGAGTCAGCTCTTCCCTTGTATTGGTCCAAAACTGGAAGAAATAGCTGGAGAAAGGTCTCTTGGAAGCCAGTTCAAAAGTATAGCCGCTTAGCCAGAAAATATAAGTACCGAGTTCCACGAAACTGTATGTCGTTGAACCATTTCGAACAGCTCAAAAGGTACTTCCATGTATCTGATCCCCAGATTGAGCTTGATATAAAACACTGGTATAAAAAACTTGATCCATTAGCCACACTACTTTAAGAACGTTTTAGGAGATACTACCTTCCGGCAACCAAGGTAGTGGTTGATGAGATAGTAGTAAGGTTTTATGGAAGAAGTCACCATACTTTAAAGATAAGAAATAAGCCAATTAAGGAAGGATACAAGATTTTTGCGCTTTGTGACCATGAGTATACCTATAGCTTTCTTTGGTATTCAGCAAGTCAGGGTATCGCTGGATTGGATTCTCCTTCAGCAAATCTTACACCAACCTCATCGGGCGTACTGCAGCTAGCTAAGCTGCTTCCAGGCAATTACCAGTGGCAGCTAATACTAGATAACTATTTTACAAATGTACCACTTTTTGAGCGACTAAGGAATTTAGGGATAGGAGTAGCAGGAACTACTAGAGTTGATGCTGCAGGATTTCCTAGTTCTTTGAAGATTGAAAAGGAGGAAGCAAGAAAGGTCCTTCTCTGGGGTCATGTTAGTGGAGATATCGTGGGAAATGTATGCTGCTTGGTTTGGCAGGATAATAGCACGGTCTTCTTTATGACCAGCTATCACGATATTACTTTAACAGTAGAAAGATTACGCCGCCGGCCTAAAAGAACCAGTACCAACGCCCATACAGTTCGGGGAATCTTTGGAGATCAGTCACGAAAGACCCTTCCTATTTCTCAGTTTATTGACGACTATAACTACCATATGGGCGGAGTTGACATTGCCAACCAGCTACGCTCCTACTATTCTACCCAACAGCAAAGTTGCCACAACTGGTATCTACTCTTTTACTGGCTTCTGGATATATCACTGGTCAATTGCTGTCGAATACAAAAAACAATTCACCCTTATCGTATTACTTGCAGTCAACTCTACCTTTTCCCCTCTAAAGTGGCTGAAAGGTTAATCCAAGCTGGACTACAAGAACAATCAACTGTTTCTCTATCTAAACCAGGTAAGCTTTATATTGCGTCTTCTCTTTATTATGAAAGTTTTTGGTTTGAAAGTTAAAGTATTTTAGATATTGCTAGTTACAGCATTTCAATATCTGGAAGCTTCCCGCCACAGGTCTCATCAAGCTTTAGGATATCTCCTTCCTCCGCTCTTTCTTCCTCCTCTCGAGCCAATATTCCTTATACTACTTTCAATAGTCTCATTCCTCCAGTTTCTACATTCTCATCAATTTCACCTAGCCTTTTCTACTCTTCCCTGGCCAATCCTATCTCTTCTTTGGACCTACTCATTCCTGCAAGAATGCTTCCCCCTATTTCCCCTCCTTTGGACTCATTCAGATTACCAGCTGATCCTCTTAAACCCTCTCCAATTCCATTTTTCACCATCCCGATCTCGTCAAATGACAGTATTCCGTCTCTTGAATGCTCCCGGGCCATCCTTCCATCATTAATCTTCCTGCTCCCCTTAGTTCAACAAAATATATTCACCGTCCTACTAGCCGGTTTAGCCCTTCAGCCTCAAACTCTAAACCTTTTCCGATTATATTTTCTCCACCGGTTACGCATACTTCAGAACAATGGCCTACATTTTCATCTTGTATTTTTCGCAGGTAGAAACGGTTTGAAAGCAGATTACCAGGTGTTAAGGCTAGGTCCATTAACTATGGTTGCAGAGAATACAATATTGCCTTATATCATGAATGAGAAACCTGTATTTCATGGTATAATATACGGTATTAGTATCTAAGTATGTAACGGCAAAATAAATGCCAATCTGATATCACGTGATGTCAATCATTTCCCCACATAGTTAGTTTTCTACATTTCAAACGGACTGAATGTCTCATCAGCCGAGGGGATAAGCCATAATGTAACAAGCTTCTCTTCCACTATTTTCCTGACCCCGCTTTTCACCTTCCTGTTTTGGAAGGTAGTGGCGGTCATCAACACCACGCTCTACCACCTCATGATTCTCTCTCCAGTGCTGAACTTTGGAAGCTTCATAAGCCTAGACACCAAACCTCATTGTGAGACCAAACGAAATTTTCACCCCCTCTAGTGTTGGACTTTGGGTTCCTCTGCCAGATTGTGGTTCCTGTCCTCCCCCTCCCTCCATGGTAGCCGCCTCAGCTAAGCTGTATGAGGTTGCAACTACTCCTCTGCCCCTCTGGGTTCTTTTACTCAGTTGGGTTTTCTACTTTACCAATGTCTGGATTACTCAGCAAGGCGTAGTTGGTATTGCACTGCCTCCGGTCATGTCCCCATCCGACCAGCCATAAGCGATCACTCCACTGGGGGCCGGCACGTCCAGGTCAGTTGCCTTCATCATACGAAATAAATGCATCATGGTTCTCCCCTATATTCCTAGCCACTAGCCAAGGCTGGACCAGTTGAAAAATGGGGAATGTGGTTTATCAAGGTAGTTTCCTTTGTTGGGTTTCTTTTATGTTTCCTTTCTCAAGAGAATATGGTGTGGGTTTTCTTATTGGCTCCTGCCGGTCCTGTTTTGTGCTTTTTTTGCTTTGTGCAGAAGGAGTTTTCATGGGAGCGGATGTGCTGTTGGTCCCATACCAGAGGAACTTGGGCTAGCTTGTTTTTCCCTAGGCCTGTGGAGGAGGCTTTTGACCAGCATGTCTAAGGACTAAATCGGGGGTGTGGGGCGGTTATTGCAGAGGTGCCCTTGTATCTAGGATCCATGTTTTAGCCGGACTGTGCTCTTATAGTGGAGGTTTGCACCTTTAAGCAAATAGATTCTACAATTTAAAAAAAAAAAAAAACTAAGCCATAATGTAAAGTACTGTACACTATTCTACACAATCA